CTGCCCTAATGTACCGGGGGGCGTGCTAGGACTGTATTAAAGTTGTCTATTCTCATTCTCTTAAGTTTGTCTGGCCTCTGTTTCAAGTTAGCCTGATTGATAAGGCATCAGGAGAGTGGTGGTACATGGTGATAAGAGGAAAAGCAASCTCATCTCCATTTTGCAGGTTTATTTCTATACTGACCTACTACAGTTGGTTCCAAGTCCACCATTACAGCCCGTGGCACATGCTTCCCAGTGGCTGTTTCATTGAAAAATGTGTTGAAAGAGTCATCACAGCTGAGTTTATCTTGCAGGTCCTTGAAGGTRCCGTCTGGCTGAATGCCGTGCTCCAGGCAGAAGAGTTCCCAGCATGCATTTCCTATCTGAACTCCMGCCTGGCCAACGTGAACAGAGATGCACTCACGCTAAGGGGAGAAAGAAGAGGCAGGGTGAGAAAAAACAATGTACCTTAGTCCTCCTTATTCCTGGTGATTATCTTTTCCCAGAGTATTGCTTTTCCAAAAAATGAGCAAATGGTCAGTCAGCTGCTCATTTGGTTGTTCAGCCCCACGACCACAATGAGACTGCACACACACATACCAGATACTGGGACAGTTTTTTAAAAAATCAAGATCTTTGTGCTGTACTATAGAAGTATATTAAAACAGTCAGCAAAAATTAATTTCAATTGCACAAGCCCCACCTTTCTTCCTGGATCAGCCCTGCTGAGGAGCACCTCCCAGTTTAGTTTATTTTTACTCTGGCTGGAGCCTGATACAGCCATGTGGTATCCTTCACCCTTACATAACCCAAGGCAGGTGATGTCTTTTCATCTTTATATCCTCTGATAGCAGGCTAGCATGGAAACTTGGAAGAAGTGCTTTCAGCAATATTCACCTAAGAAAATTGTTCCAAATTTTCTTAGTTGAAACAAATATTTCTTACAGCTTCTGATCAGCCGTGAATTTTATGTCACAGGCCCATTGCTTATCAGGCTGTGCCATTGCAGTATAGTGGATTTATTTGCCTAGTTTTGCGCATTGTTTCTGTGGCATCCAGGAACCAAAAATTATGTAATATCAGGATAAAATAGGCWGGTGTCAATTGCTCCAAAATTCTGTACACTTGAGTACAGGAGCCTGAAGGCCTTGGTGCTGGGTTTMGTAAGTTCATAAAGAGAATTATAGAGCAAATACTTCTGGGTTAGTCCCAACAATTGCAACATGGCCTGTAGTGAAAGGCATTTTTTTGAGGAGAGAGCAGTTTCAGGCATGTGGAGTTTTTCAGATTTAGTTTCTGCTTTGGAGTAATTGTCATTAAAACTGCCTAAGCTCTGTTTCTGWGATCCCCATGGCCCTGTCTATGCTAGGGAATAAGAAAAAGTCAGGTCATAGTACTGAACACTGGCCTGTGATCTCCTGTGCTGATTGGTAATTAGCACAGTCTCTGGCACAGTTTTGGCTTAGGCCAATTAATATTTTTCCAGATAATGCTTGGGTATCATACAGAATACAATTCATTTTCAAGAATGGTTTCCAGTGAGCAGCTCACTGACCACTGCCAGGCTTTGTGGAGTGAAGGAGAATAGAGATGCCTCGCTACAAGGTAGGCCTAGCTTTAAGGGTGGAGAATGGTCCTCACTCATTTTTATTTTATAAAATATTGCATTTAGAGATAACCAATGACTGTGTCAAACTTGACCAGTTATTTTTTTTTAATATAAATTCTGTAACTGTYTACTCTGCAAAATCATCCTGTGACCTGAGAATGAAATGTACCCTCCCCAAAGACAAAATCCTCAGGCACATTGTGTGATGAGCAACATCTCTGTGGCAGTGTTTTCTTACAAATTGACATATATTTGTGTTTTATAAACTCAACTAAACATATTTTTTCAGAAGCAACTAGAATTTCAAAAGACATCACGGCCCCAGTTAGTCACCCCCAGAAGTTCAAATGAACAYGAAAAGTTAAATTAAATTTTTCATTCAATGAAATAAATAATTTCTATTCAGTACTCATTTCTAAGCTGCTGACTCTGCAAATGCATGTGCTCTCAAGTGTCTTGCACAACCTTTGCTCAACTGAGTTGTGCAAAAGTCTCTGAGTTATTTGACTGACAATGGGGCTTCATAAATYTGCATATTGCAATCTGGAGGATTACTCAGGAGACACTGGGGGCATATTTGGGCTTAGAGAATTCRATTAATGCTGACTTTGCACAGGGCTCCTGCCTTTTCTTTTAAATCCCAATGGGAATCTGTGAGGCTGGCAGCAAGAAGAAAGGAAGGTCAGGTTTTTTTTCTTTTTAAATGCAGCAATGAAGCAATAACTTCTAAAGCAAAACTGCAATCACAAGTCAAGCAATACTTTAAAACTAAAGAGCTTCTTTGCTCAGTTCCTCAGATCTACRGAGGAATTGGTCTGTTTTTTCACAGATAGAACAAGTGAGTGCTGCCTTAGGAAGTTAATAACGTAGAGCTTCATATAGGATTACAGTTGAAGCACACTGAGTTTTCAGCTGCACTAATTTGAAACAGGATCTCAGCCCTGGTTTTGAGCCATTTCATTTTCTCCTACCCCACTAGTRATTGGGAAATATTCTGCCAAACAGTGAAAAAGAGGTTTCTGATTTTGTATATAGTAAACAGCATTAAAATAGATGCCAGACTTTTAGCAGGAAAGAGGCTGGGCCTTCTTCAGCGTCACAGTCAGAGTAAACTGATCTTTACGTGATATTTTGATTTGGAGCCTACTCCAAACTCATGTTTCACATCCAACCACTAATGTACTAGGATGGGTCTAACAAAGAAACAGCAGGAAGAACCAGATTCTTTGTGCAACTAAACCTGGGACAGCTTTGACTCTTAAAAAAGCAGACTGATACCTGGCTCTAGTGTTCACTGCACAAAGGCAGACTTTATTCTTCCAGCTGTTCCACAAACATCTCACTTCGCTAGGTCTGGAGAGCCTGTGGAAGTGTCTTGCCTGCAAGATGAGCTGGCACAAARTAACATAGCTCTCCCTCTGCACCAAAATTAGACTCAGTGTTAGAGACATATTGGGGTACAAGGTGAAATGGAGTTTTTCACATCCTAGGAGGTTTTGAGAGATTTCTGCAAATCTATAGCAAACCCCCAACACTTAAACAGAAGGGCATTTTTTCACTTAAACGCATACATAAATAAAAGGATTCATGGACTCCAGAAACACACATGCATATACCATATAGCTATAGACAGTATAGCCTTTGGGGCTAAATTGATTTAAAACAGACATAAAGGTAAACAACTTATTTTTTGTTTACTTCTAAAAAAAATTATCTCATATGAAAATGAACTGGTGTTGAGAAAATGTGGTCACAACAGAAAGTACCAAGCAGCTAAGGCTCCGGATCTAATTCATCTTATAGTTACACAAATTAGGGACTCTCCAAAGAAAATKTAATGCTTTAATGCTTCAGTGAGATTTTCTACCACTCCTTTCCCATCTTCTTACGTTGTAAATGGTGCATGAGATCAGCGTTCTGTGACACAACCTACTGATAACAACAGCAGATGCCCCAGCCTTCCCTTACCCACAGCCCTCCCAATCCCCGTGTGACTGGAGTTCCCACATCCCCCTTACCATGGTGTCTCCAGTGGTGTTTCCTTCCCGCTGGGCTCACTGGTGGCAGGTCGGTGCTGGAGCCTGACTCTGGGCTGCAGGGCGGGAGCACCCCGGGCCCAGCACCCGGCACCTGCTGCTGCACTTCAGTGTCACAGTGCAGTGAGGAAGAGGTCACCCTGCGGCACCGCTGCCTCCTGCCCTCCCAGCACCCCTCCTGTACAAATCCACCCACACAGGCAAGGCTCCGAGACACCCCAGGTTTCAAACTCAGTGCAGCCAGGGTTGGCATGCTTATTAACTTGGAGTGTGGCCATGTAACACGTCATGTACTGTGCTTTCTAATACCTCAGGGTTTTACATCATTTACAAGACACACACCAACCCAGTTCCTTGTTCTGCCAATATGTACTTGGTAGAATGAAAACCACTCCTATATTCCCATACAGAAGGCATAAGGGAGCAAATKAATGGAAAAGAGAAGGATAGAAGGAAAGTAGAAATAGAGATCTGGAAAGTAAACATAATTAGCATTCTGAAGTGTGCTCCAAATGAAGTGTGCTTTCAAATGATCTCCTGGCTTCTCTATTAACATTTCAATTTACTTCTATTGCTTCTTTTTCCATGTGCAGTCATCCACACTGTCAGCAGTATGGGACAGCTTTCAGTACAGGCTCTCACTTGTCTGTCCAAACACAGAAAGAAATTTGATTCTTATTGCAGTGTTTATTGCGCGACAGCTCTGGAGGCATCACCCCAACATTCTGACACCAAATAAGGGCAGCTGCCTCCACCAATTTGCTCCTTCTGCATTAGTTCAGCATTGGAAAGCAGCAGCTTTCTCAGTAGAGAAATCCTTGTTTTTGCAGCTCCTAGGTAACAAAGAGGAAGGCACACTTAATTGCTTGAATCTGAGTATTATGTATCCCCTGACTTTGTAAGTATACATAATGTTTATGATGATGTTTAATCAGTAGACATTTAGACAATTCCAAAAATACAGGTTGTCTACATGATGATAATAATAGATTGTTCTGCCACTGTTGGCAACTAGCATATAAGTTCTTCAACACCCAAATTTTAACAGTGAGAAATAGTTCATACTGTTTTTTATAAATTCAGCTTGGTATAGTCCTTAATTTGCTATTCTTTACGTAAACSTGCAAATCACTATTCCTACATTCTCAGGAGAAACTCGCATTATCTTCTGCTTGTGAGCGTTCAACTGTTTTCTGTCAGTCTGTTGCCACCTGCTGGAGAACCACCCCATTTCAGGATTTCTGAAATTCCCAAGTTAGTAATTTGGTACCTGCATAACACTGCTATATTGATAAAATCCTGCCTTTCAGGCACTATCCCTGAAACAGAGAACTGTGCTATGTATTTTTACCTTTTATTTATAGTTTTCTCCCCTAATATATCAAGGTCAGAACTGCAGTTGGTTCTAATATAAAGATACATTCATCTAATAAAGACAAATACCAGGTACTTYATTCTTGGTAGTATTGATCTTGGCTACCCCAAAAGGCAGACTCATACCCTATCAACATCATCAGTTGATTAGATCTCGTCAGATTCACAGTGAACAACTCCTCTACTTAATTCAAATATGCCTATACAATGAGGGCAGGTTGTGAAACACTTGTGGAAAACTTTTATATTCTTTTGGAGTATATCAATACATTAAACACAAAATTTTTCATATAGTTATCATGCACAAAAAAGCAACTCTACAAAGAGGTAAATCAGTAGTCACTTTATTATAAAAATTAGATATTGCAGCTTTAATATTAATTGCAAAAAACCCTGATAGCTTATTTCTGCCTTCTTGCCCTCTTGTGATGAATTAAATACAATACAAATTCTAAATCAGTAGTACTCCAATAAAGTTAAGGTTACCAACCTACACTTAAAAGAAAGGTGAATGTTAAAAGTCCTGGTAAATAACATTTAACAGCATTCTAAAAACCATGTATGGCCTGCTGAAACCAATGGTCCCAAGCTCCAGAAAAGCATCTCTGCCATCTAACTACAAATGATGCCAGAAGACTGCAGAAAGAGCTCATTACTGAACAGTGACTTTTATGAGAATTTGGCCTGACTTCAGAATGAAGTTTGCCATTTCATTAAGTGGCTTACAAAGGACTTAACTTGAGRCCTTGCAAAACAAGGGTGCAGAGGATTCATCCTGGTCATTTCTTGGAAGAATTCAACACCAGATAGAGCTTCTGGGTTTCATTCTACTTGATTTCACATCAAGTGTTGGTTAGAGTTATAACTACACTAACAGTTGAATTACAAGAACCATTTAGCATTCTCAAAGGCTGTTCTTCCTTATGCGTGCAGAGTTTTTATAAAATTCCTTTTTTATATGATGAAGCATTGTATCTACTTATCCAGGTGTAGAGTCCTGGCAGAGATAATAACTTTGGGGAGGGACATGGGATTGGTTTATGTTTTATTCTTGAGGTCATTACTGCACTCATGAATAACCTGCCCAAGTTTATTTGACAGTAATGCTGGAGTGTTTCTCTTTTTGGATAATTTAAGATGAAACAGACAACTAGTTTTAGCAGTGAAGATGAGACTRTTTTCAAAGTGCACCAGTAGAGAGCGAATCAAGAGATCACACACAGTTCAAGGGTACCAACAGGTCACCTGTGTGAGGAAAAAAAGGAACAGCCACCACCTTGGAGTACGGTTATCATTAAAGCCAAAGGTCACTACTGTTGTAGGAGACATACTGGGATCTACTTGGCTACTTTTCATGGGTTTGGTGTGGTCCCACCAAAAGGGCTGCTCTGATAACACTTTGTAGTTTGGGCTGACATCAGTGAGCCTACATCCTTTTGGCACAGGYGCTGGGATGAAGGGCTACTTGTCCCAGGCCTCTCGCCTTTACCTTGTCCCCTCCAGCACACAGCAGTTTGAAAGCAGTATTTTGTTACATCAGTGCTCCCTCAYTGGAATTTACCTTTCGTCAGTTGGAGACAGATGGATGAATGGATAGAGGAGAAATTAATGTTCTACCCCAAACTTCCAATTTCTGCCCCAAGTGGTCAGAAATGGATTTGGTTTGCTGACAGACCTGCAGAGGTACAACTTTCTTGCCACTGATCTGCGGAAGGTCTTGGGATGTCAGAGAAGTACCTCCTTCTGTAAAAATAAACTTTTGTTCTGAATGACACAGCATTGCTAAATGACTCCCATCTAACCCAGGACTTTGGGGGGCTATTCTAGATATAGAGACTTTTTGGCATCTACATAAACAAAGCAAGAGGTAGGGAAAGAGTAAAACAAAGCAACAACGTCAGTTGTTCAACTAGACAGTAACACAGAATATCATTTAAAAAAATAAATCTATATCCTTCCCACCRCCACCACCATGTGCTTCTAAGGATGACTATGCATCAGGCAAGCACAAAGTGCTGTAATTTGCATTTAAGAATAGATACAGAACAACAGTCTTTGTGGCCCACCACTTCATCTTTCTGGCTTAAATATGACTAAAATCCAGTATGCCTATACAAAGAGGCATCAGTCACAAGAGAAACCATGGCTTTCAAAATGCGATARGCTTTACTTTCTCCAGTGTTTTTCTTCCATGTGCTTGTCCTAAATCCCATGTTGCAAAAACTGGGCTTTTCAGATRTCCTCAGGCAAAACAGAATATTCCCCTAATCACTGGCACTCTGTTGCCTTTTACAGTCATGCCTCCAGGAACACTAATGCACTTGTTTAGAGAACTGTCCAGCATCCGCAAGGATGAAAACTTCTTCCACAGTTCATAACTGGCTACACAATGCTCACTCAAGAGACTCATCCAAAGCAAGGTGTTTGAAAAGCAGGATTCATATTCAGTTGTAGATATGGAAGGATTGGCTTTACCCTAGTGTTGGACAGGACCAAGCAAAATGTCAGGAATACTTGTTGTGGTTTCAAAATTCGTACACCACCATTCCCTGTCTGAAGAAATTCCACGAGCCCACACATGTGGTCATCTCAGATTTCAACAGTCCCTGAAGAGTCTGGTATCATCCCCAAGATAAGGTGACACTTTCAGTGATGAACATACTTAGTCTCGAATTGGAGGCCTATGAATGGGAGAAAGCACAGCTGCCCAAGCTTGTCGGAAGAGCTGGACCAGTTTGTAAATGAATGGCAGTGATGTGGGAGAAGCTGCAAAACACAACAAAAAGCAAAAGAGCGTGCATTATAAAAAGTAAAACTAACCATACACCATATTAAGAAAGAACTACTCCCAACTAGAGTTAAGAAAACACTAGTTCTCTTCCTTCCTTCAGTTCAGTTCTTGGATCTTTGGGTACTGCTCCCTAGCAAGYTCCCTTCACTACTTTCCAATGGATTATTTATAGAGTAACTGTGGATCATCTGTCATACAGCAGGAGAAACATCCTTCTCGACTAGCTGCCACCTCTATGTCACAGAACCAGCCCRTTCTTCAGGGACAGCAGCAACCATCACCAGTGAAACTCCAGCATAAGATGGTCAAATGCATGATACAGTGCTGGCCCTGGGAACTCTCATGACAGGACACCCTGTCAAGGAATCACTCATCCAAAGGACATTCACCTCCYACCACCACAAGCTGACTGAGGCAGAGGCTAAGGCTGGGACAGCTGTGCCTCTCACAGTCTGTACTTTGTTGAAAAGAGCAGAGGATGGAACAACTGTTTTGGGAATCTGGCGCTTGTAGAGCTGCATTTTTCTATTTGGATTGCAACTGGAAACATAAGACACACTAAGGTCCTAGGCACCCAGTTTTTGTGTCTCCCTAGGATCAGACATTTACACAGACCAAATTTATTAAAAGCAACTCATTTCTTCTCCATTACCATAACGGAATTTTAAAAATCGGAGATCTTATTCTTGTACCTGGGTCTAATCTCACCACCACCAGGTACAGCAAAAAGGTAGCCAGGAGCATCTTCTTGTAAGGAAGCAAATTGAAGTGGTTTGACATGGACCTCAGTGCTCTACGTAGCAACGTCAACATGGTCAGCAGCTTTTGGGACAGTGCTCCTGGAAAAAAAGAACAGCAAGRCTGTTAGAGCAAAGTAAAGTTTAAAAAGTAATCACATAGAGATGGACAATAAGAAACTAGGATATTAGAAGATTTGTTTSCATGAGAGTTGGGTTGGGTTTGGGTTTTTATATAACAGAAAACAGAGAAACWGAACAATTTTGTAATACAATTCATTACACATTTTTTTTAGGCATCTACTTTAGTAGAATATTATCTTATACCACAGTAGTGCAAGCTTCTCTCCTGGGGGAAAATATCAAGTGATTTACAGTTCTGAAGAAGAAACAGTACTTTAAATGCTAGAAATGGATTATTCTACTTAGACTCAACAGTAAATGGAAATGAAGCAAACTGTACATAGAGCCAACAAAACATACCCTTAAAGGATTGCAAAGTTCTGGTTTTTCCTTTTTAGCTTAAAAACATTCAAAAAAAACTCCACAATGCTTTTGATTCTGRACAATAATTGTCATCTCCTGATGTTGGCAAATACACTTTGCAATTGTCAGCAAAGGTATCACTAAGTCTTTTACTTCCAGCTGTGGTACACAATGGGACTTTCTCATGGCCCATTTATCATGGCAATATTCTCACTACACAGTTAATACTTGCTACCTTTTGCTAATAAGGGACCAACTTGAAATGAAATTGTAAAACAGGAGCACAAACAACAGAGAGAAACCCTACCCAGAATAGTTTCTGTTGCTGGGTCTTGCTGCTCTTCAGCAGCCAAGCACCTCTCTTCCTGCTGAGTCCACTGACACCGGCTCTCACAAATGGTGCTGAGAATTGCCAGCTGCTGCTYGCTGTCAAACACGTCACAGCCTCGGACCAGCTCCTCCGCGCCCTCAAAGCGGCCCAGGGGCAGCAGCACGTGCACCAGGTACAGCTCCAGCAAGGGCCCGTACTCGGGGAGGCTCTGATTGGCGTGGTCCCTCAGCCAGCTGCTGCCAACCTCCAGCATCACCTGCGGCTCTTTCACTTTACTGTACAACAGGATACTGAAACACAAGGGAGAAGAATGAGAAAACCCTAACTCTTTGTCAAAGATGACAACCCCCAAGCAGTTCTCATGAAGGTAYGAATCAGGGTCTACATTGAAGCACAGAAGGAATTCTGAGGCAGACTACAGGTGCAGCTACTGATGTTACTCTCAGCATCACTCCTTTTGTACTTGATCACCATAAAACAATCTTGCAGGCATGCTCCAGCACACAGAGGTCAARRACAGGCCTGTCCCAGATCTCACACCATACAAAGTGAAAATACTATGTAATACCCAAGCTTAGCCTGCTCTTAAACCTAACACAAGCCCTGTGTGTATATTTGACAGCAACAGACAGAAACTCACCACAGCTCCAAAACTTTTGGAGGCAGATGTTCAGGGGCATGGTAATACTGTAGGATCCAAGACAGAACTTCTCTCCACCGGTTCATCTCTGCCAGCGCCTGAATCCCCACAACACAAAGGGAGCATTTCACTTCTGCAAAACTGGTAAAGAAAAGACACCTAAGCATTTCTTATTAACTACATTTCCCCTCTCATCCCTTCCAGTGAGCTTTAGTGCAGCCCAGGTACTCCACAGTTCTCTGGCAGCCACTTCCACTCCGATAAAAAGGCCAATTCGACCTCCGAGGATATCCACTGTGAGTGTAGCTCTGAGAGGGCGAGGCTCCTGGGCACACCTCACTTCCCTCAAACATGCAGAGATCTCTTCACACGAAACATGTTAATGTCGACAGGGATAAAAGAAACCCGAAAGTAGGGCAGGCATGGCCTGAATTTCGAAGCCAGCCCGGCGCTGATGTGCCACCCTGAGCAGTTTCCCCAGGGCCACCCCATCCCCTCCGCACGCCCGCCACAGCTCGCACCTCTCGTGGCCGGGGCCGGGGCCGGGGCCGGGTCCCAGGCTGTCGCAGCCCGCCTCACACCGCTCCACGGCGGCGGCGAAGTCCCGGTGCAGCACCAGCAGGTCCGCAGCCTCCTCCAGCAGCGCGGCCGCCTGCGCCGGCACCGGGGCCCAGGCGGGCGGCTCGCCCCGCATGGCAGCGGCGGGAGGGCTCTCCCCGCGCCCGCACGGCTCCGGCTCCGGCTCCGGCTCCAGCGCCGCCACCGCCCCCGCCGGGGCCCGGCTCCCCTCCACTCGAGCAGGCACCGGAAAACCGGGAGACAGCTCCGGACCCGCGGCCTCCCGGCAGCGGAAGGGCCGCTGCGGTGAACATCTCCCGGCCCCGCGGGCCGCCGGGACGTGTAGTCATTGCAGCGGTGCCGGGGCGGGAGGAAGGCAACGGGGATGTCTGGGAGACTGGAGCATCTCTTGCGAGGAAAGGCTGAAGGAGCTGGGTCTAGTCAGCCTTGAGAAGGGACGACTGAGGGGCAACCTCATTAATGTGCATAAATACCTGAAGGGGAGTGCTAGATAAAGCCAGGCTCTGCTCAGTGGTGTCAAGCAATAGAATAGGAGGCAATGGGCAGAAACTGATGCAYGAAAGTTCCACCTGAACAGGAGGAAGAACTCCTTTACTATGTGGGTGACAACGGTGTCCCCTGGTGTAGCGGAMCAGATTGCCYAGAGAGGTTGTGGAGTCTCCCTTCATGGAAATWTTCCAGAACCRTMTGGATATAATCCTGTGCCATGTGCTCTGCGATGACCYTGCTTGAGCAGGGRGATGGGAYCAGATGACCACCGTGATCCCWTCCAGCCTCACCCATGCTCTGACTSTRTGACTCTGCGGGGATTATTGGTGGAAAGAGAGGCTGCGGCCGCAGCGGTGGGATATCTGCGTGCCGGCTGTGCGGGGACGGAGATCGGTGTCCGTCCCTGCCAAAACGCCTTTCCCTCAGTTTCTCCCTCGTGTGGCTGCCGAGGGAAAGGGGCAGAGCCTGCGCTTGCCTCYTCGGCTGTTCTCCCCGCGGCCGCTGGGCGTCAGCCCAGCCCCGAGTGTGTCCCAGCCGAGCCTGCAGCTTTCCTGAGCCCGGCCAGGACCCGGGAGACGGCTTTGGGGCGGYGCTAAAGGGGGAGCGCTCCCCGTGCTGCCGCAGCACCACCGGGGCGGGTGATGGATGCCCTCTGCTCTCGGCCCCGTTTTCCTCCGGGGACCTCTCCTCAGACACCCCGTGCCCGCRGTTTTAAGCACATTACGCTGTTAACGGAGTTCGGGCATAATAACAGTGTCGACAGCASTACCCGGCAGGCAGCGATTCACATTCTCCTTCAGTTGTTATTTAAAAACARCAGGGTGTCTTGGTTACAAGGTAATTACGGCAGTCAGTGCAAACGCTRTTCAAAAACGAATCTCTACAGGAGCGACAGGGTTGATTTATCTTGTAACTTTTTGAAATAATTGACAGATTTATCTGTCCCCCTACTATGATTATTTAATTAAAAAATCAAATGCGCTARTAAAGAGTGAAACACATCTTTTAAAAGGGATTTTCTATGCCATTTCAGGGTGGAGAATATGATTAAAAACTTGATCATAGCTCTTTTTTACTAGGTAGCTGATTCCAGGAGACAGGACCGTGTACCTGCCTCTCACGGCAGCAGCAGGAGCACTYTGCAGTAGCAGCTTTTACATAGTGGTGGATCCAAGGGGTTGGCACACAGCCCTTAATTGTGGAACAAGTTCCTGAAGGATTTGGGCTGGCTAAGGTGAAACTACKGCACAGAAACGTTGGGAAAGGAAGGGCCCAGCAGCAATCAAAGGCAGAGGTAAAGGCRTTTCAGACTTTTGTTTCGGTTGCTTGGCGCTTTCAATTTGGAAAACAACATTCCTTTTTGGGAACTACAAGTCCCAAAGTGCACTGTGGGGAGAACGTGCCTCGTACCAGCTAGTGCCCAGCACAAATTCCCAAATATGGATAAGGAATCAATTTTGAAGAAGACTCACACTGGCTGGATGCTCCTCACTGAGACTCAGAAAAGGAGTGTGACAGCACAAAACTAAGGTAAGTTTGCATTATGCAGAAATGCTGTTCAAGGATTTCTTTCATGGAATATTTCAGATAATGATCTGTATCTTAGAAGGGCATTGCTTGGTGATGTTTGAATTAGGTGCTGTGGTCATGTAGGCAGCTTTTGGAATGGGCTGTTGTTTCAGGTGGGGGAGTGAGTAGAAGGAGCAGCTGTGCTATGGAGTGAGTCAGATCCCGTTTCCCTGTAGATGCTCCTTATGAATCAAGACCTATGGAAAAATAGCAAGCTGCAACATTGATGCAGTTCTGGTAGAGGCMGGGAAGGGTCAGRGAGAGGTTGGARTTGCTTTGATCAGCAGCCCTGCCTGAGTTGCGGTGTGTGGTTGTGTAAGAAGGCAAGGKGAACAAACAGCCTTTTAACAACAAYAATTATAGGTTACATWTATTTCTCTGTAAAGCATGGTAGAATGTTTTTGTATTTCACCCTTCTTCCTAGAGGGGACAGTGTGGTGCCTTGAAGGCCAAACCTCTTGCAACTCTCTGACCTGCAAATAACACTCAGTAACAGGATTGTTTAACTACAGGCCAGGAACAATTACCTATTTTACTGGCAATTTGTTAACAAACAAAATGAAATTATTCTGAAATATAATCATCTTAGTGGAGATGAGAGATGCTTGAGCTCCCTTCTCGGGCGCACGTGAAGCCTCAGAGGTTGACCTGGTCACAGGCAGCACTGGCTCCTGCCTCTGTTTCTCTCCCTGGCAGCCAGGCATATTTTTCATTCAGCTCAGATGCTGTGTGTGGACACTTTWCTGCTGGCTGACGTCAAGTGCAGCTGGTCCTCTGCATCCCTCATCCCAGCACCCTCCTCCTRCTATGTAGGGTCATGGAGCAGCACAGTCTGCATGGCACAGTGSTGCAAATGTAGGAGGTGCAGTCCAGCTCTGAAGGGGAAGCCTGAGACTGTTTAGGATGCTGAACCAAACTGTCACATGGGTACTTGTTGCCAAATAAGAATGATGCTGTTTTTCCATCTTTCCTTCGATGTGAGCAGTTTAAATTGTTTTAAAGCTGAAGGAACTCGTTTTGTACTTGAACCAGCCTACACAGCAAGGCAGTTTATACTACTACAAAAAAGCTGGAGGAAAGCAGCATGTTTGCCTGTGGTCCTGGATAGCAATTTCTAGTAACAAGAAAAGRTAAAGTAAGGAAATTTGTTGTCAGTGATAGGTAGTATGAGGGAGTGTCACAGTTGGTTTTGTGTCCTTGGTGATACATTGATGCCCAGCTTATCCCCTTTTACCTGAAATGAAGGAGGTTTTTTTCCTGTGGTGATCCTGATTTTGTGTAGGAAAAGAAAAATGAGTTTCAGCAGGGCCTTGTTTGTGTGTGCAGCATCTGTGGATTTACTGCTTCCTCTCCTCCCTCTGCTGACAGGCAGTTCGAGGAGAGTTTAGAGTTACAGGCACCTGTAACAAGGCCTCCTGAGGTAAATCGCCTCAACTATTAATCCAGATCTGACCGGCACACGGTCACAGGGCCAGAGGGCTGGCAATCAGTCTTTTTCTGTTGTCTCTTCTGTGTCAGTAGGCTGTTAATAGGAGATTAGCAGCATTAGAGAGACTTTGAGCTAGAAATKGTGAGGTCCTATGATTTGATTTGAAGAGAAAGAAACCCTCCTACACCCATTTAAAAACAAACAGAAGAGCTGGAGATTATAAACGGCATTATAAACACAACTGAGGAAAGCATAGTTTCTAGGAAAGATGTGGAGCTCTGTAGTACTGCAGAGCTTATTAGCAGCACTTTAAAAAAGTAATGAGGTCCATGGAGACCTCAGATCTCAGTGTGCAGCACTCTGTTCTTATCACCATGTGCTTTTGTTTGACTCTGGCGAGACCATGACGTGCTGGAATCTGTAATTCGCTTGCAATTTCCATCAGCAGTAAATCCCTATTAAATATGAAGCTGGCTGGCTGCAGATCCCTTCAATTAGCACAGATTCAGGGCTTCCCTAGCTCCTGGCAGGCGGTCTGCCGAGCCCTGGGCTGGATGGAGGTGAACGCTCTCCGGCTGTGCCTTGAACAGATGGCCCACGGTGATGGCTCTGCTTTTTTATCTCACCAAGTGTGGCAGCACAGCATCAAACCTATTTTTTATTTCAGAAATAGAACTGGTTCATCACCTGCTGATGTTCCCAGTTCGTGAATTTAAAAGCACTCATGTCTGATTCCAGCCGTATGCAAACCTATAGAAACAAAGATGAGGATGGTACAAGGCAGAAAACTACAGGGGCAGTCACAGCCACAGTCCAGCTGCAGGGGTATTCCGTAACATAAAAGAGCAATCTCTGTTTTAGCCTTCATCACAGATGCACAAACACTGTGTAGGGTGTAAACACGGGAAACTGGGAAACTGGAAACACTGGGTTGTGTTCACAGCTTGTCAAAACTTGAGTTTTACTCAGATAATAACAAAATCTTTCAGAAACAAAGGGCATTTTAAAGTTGATTAAGTCCCTTTCTTTGCTTCATAATCAAAATACTAGCCTTGGCAAGGCAGCTGTCAAAGTATAGCAGCAGTTACTTTTGATTTAATTGTTACTGTTATAATAGTCATATTTAGTGCTGGGTGGGGCAGTTCATAGCTGTAAGGTGACCAATTTGGTTGAGGCCTAAGGCATCTTCTTTTCTTCAGCTACTTATTATCTATGAGAAAATACGAAAGCCTGTCATCACTGTGGGTCAATTACATTCTGTTTGCCTAGCACAGCATCTCTTTGATCATTGTTTTGGAGTCRAAACCCCTCTAATAATTGATACCTCTTCTAAAGGTCCAACCTGCCAAAATCAACTGTCGTCCGTTAGTCTCCACCTTTCCTYCTTTTCAAAAGCAAACCTTGTGCTCTCATGATTGGGAGAAAGTTTGACACTGTGAATCCTGGAACTATTTGTACCACAAGGCAAATGAAGTAATTTGAGAAAATGTTTCTTCTCGTTTTTAACCTAACTTCCTGACATCTCAGTATTTTCTTCACAGTGTCTGTCAGCTATCTGTCCCACATTCTGAATGCACATTTACTGTGATYTGTGCAAATTATCTCTACAAACAGTCCATGCATCTTCTGCATCTTGAACTGGAAATTACGGGATATATTACTGAAGTTAACAAACACTTTTGCTTCTCCGTCTGCTGGTCCCAGATCTTGTCTGGCCAGGTCTTGTGATGCTCATAAAAGTTGTGATGACAGGTTGCTTTAGGAAAACCAGCATGCTGCAGAATTGC